ACATCCTTTCATGTGCAACGTGTATTTAAAAGCCTTAAAAAATATTATCTGATTTAGTAAGACCCCCTGAAGGATTTTACAAAGGTGTTTAATGTAGCATTGCTTATAATGGCAAAAAATTTGCAATAACCTAACACCCAAAGCAGGGACATGATTAAATCAATTGGGAAGCAACGGGGGTGCTAACTATCTTGTTCGCATACATAAAATAACATAGTATTTGGTATGGAAAATGTGCACAACTTACTAAGTGGGGGGAAAAGCAGATAGTAAAAAGCAGATTCTGCTTATCTGTATGTTCAAGCATTGCTGAAATTTTCTTAGCATAATTATTAAGGTTAAAAAATGTTTCTAAATACCTTCTCCTTCTCCCCCTTCCCCTCTCTTATTGGTTTACTAATTACACAAATCACACTAACCAATTAATTCAGCTTGGATTAAACATTTATGAGTGACTTGGCAAATTCGACATAATTCCTGCTATTTAACCATTTTCATCTTATTTATTTAAAATGCTGGATAGGCCCTGGCTGGGTAGCTAATTTGGTTAGAGTATCATCCCAACATGCTGAGGTTGTGGATTTGATCCCTGGGCAGGGCACGTACAAGAAGTAACCAATGAATGCATAAATAAGTGGAACAAATCTCTCTCTTTCTCTCCTTTGCTCTCTGTAAAATCAATAAATAAAAAATAATAAAAAGATGGATAATATGAAATCAATGATTATAAAACATTTCAGAGATTAATAGGCCATAAGTAATTGGAAAAAGAAAAGTTTTACTTTGAAAAAGAATTATTGTTTCCGAAAAGGTAATAATCTCTTAGAATTAAGAAAAAAAAAGATAATAATTATTTTTTATATAGAGCAGTACCCAAACCTTTGGAATACAACCTATATCAAGTCTCTAGAAAGTGCTAGGAAATGTTATCAACAGGTTTTCATAAACTCCTCATGGTAGGGTCCTAGTCTTATTTTTCTACAACTATCCCAGTGCCTGCGAGGACATATGCACTCAATGGATTGTTCAAATATGATCTAATTACTTAACACTCACCATGACACATTTTTCAAATTATGAAATTATGTTTTAAATGGGTAAAAGGACCCACAATTCCTAGGGATTCTCATTCATCTCTGCCCGATTCTGGGGCTCACTGTCTCTCTGGCCAGAGCAGGGTAGCCAAGACTCCACACCTCCTCCAGGGCAGGGCATGCATGGTATTGTCTCTTCTACTTCAGATAACTTCTAGCACAGGCTTGTGTAAAGTAAAGGTACAAAAAATAATTGCTTATCAAAAACCATACTTTATCAATATAGGATTACCTTCCAAATAAAAGTTATTTTAGGAGCAATAGTGTTGTTTTTATACATACAAAAGTATAGATTAATAAGGAAGCTAAAAATAAATTTTAATAAAATAATTTGCAAGAAGTATTAGGTTTAGTAAAGGAAACAAAGTATATGCAGATGAGTGAATACTGTGAATATAATCAAATATATAGTTTTAAGTAGTCAAATTCCAAAATGATTTGGCTCTTATGGCTCACAATCACTTTCAGAATGGTGTATAGGCATTGGTCTGATAGTCCAATACTTGACCTGTGGTTCTCAGTTTGAAGTAATTTTGTCCCTTAGAGGGCATTTGGAAATGTCTGGAGACACTTTGGGTTGTCACAACTTGGGAGATGCTACTGTCATCTTGGGTAGAGGCCGTGGATGTTGCTAAACATCCTGCTACTCACAGGACAAAAAATTATGCAGCTCACAATGTCAGCAGTGCCAAGGTTGAAAAGTCCTGCATAGATCATTTAAAAAGGTGGAATTATCCACTATCCTCAAGTGTAAATTAGCATCAAGAGTGAGAGGTGGAAAAGCCCGAATGTCCAGTGTTTATGGCAAATTCTGGACACTTTGCAAAACCCCCAAGCACACACTGTCATCTTCAGCTGATTCAAAAGAACATGATTCTGCACATAGCAACGGAGAAAGGGAAGGTGTAAAGTTGAAATGTACTTAATCCTTGGCAAAAGTGCGCATGTCTCAAGTGCCAGTGTATGAGTGTGCAAGAAAAAACGACCAGCTTTTTGGATCCATGGTGATCTTGGATCTTCTGACAATTTCAACCAAGTAAAATAAAAACAGTATGTATTTAGGCACTTTTGAACTTCTTCATATCTCTAATTTCTAGTATCTAAAATTTAATAACAAGGACTGCAGGAACAAAACCGCACTGAAAGCAAGAGACAGGGACTATATACAGGTTCCCATCCTTGCTACCCCTGCCTCTCAACTCCCCATTTGTTAGACAATTCATTCAATGATAGAGTTAAGGAGGCCATAGACCACACTGTAAATGTAGAAGGGATATTTTAGTAGAATTAATTTCTTGGTAATAATAAAAAGAACAAAAGAAACAGACAGAAATAGTGAAACATGTTTGTAAAGTTATGTCAACATCAAAATATTATTCTCCTATGACAAGGAGCTTTGGTGCATGAGCAGAGAGACCTGCCAATGACAGTAAGTTGTAATGCCTAGAAGGTCTATGAGATGTAACCTAGATAACGAGACCTCCAGAAAAAAGCCGTTAAGACAGGGACCTTGCACATGGGATCTCCTCCCTCCTTCCCTACCTCCCTCCCCAACCCACCCCAAGCTCCAAGTGCCCTTCTTTTGCCTCTGTAATTCATTTCCTGAGCCCATTTCTTCTACAGCTTACTTCCACCTCTGTGACTTTCTAAATAAATTTTCTCTTATAGTTTGAGTCTTGGCTCTGAATTCTTTCTTAGCCAGAACACAAGTACTGAGGTTGCTGAACCGATGTCTAACACCTGGTACCGTTCACAGCCAACATATGAGCTTTCATCTGGAGCCACTGCTAGGATGACTTCATCACTCAGCTGCTGAAACTCCAATGCACACAAGGATCCATAAAGTAGAAAGGCAAGTGGAAATGCTCAGTTTCATGCAGCAAGAGAATCCAGAAATCATCATCAGAGTAAGAAAATCAACGGATGCCACTTCTTGGTTCCTTAAGGACTTTGTTAAGTCTTAAGTTCTGAAGAATTTCATAAATCAAAAATAAAAATAAAATTTTCTTATTTCTTGTGTACTTGGGAGTTCTGGGGGGGAATTAAAGACAGGATTTCTTCATCTTTCCTAGTCTTAAATTACAATGTGACTTCCTTTAGGGTAGGTAGAAATGGAAATACATAAAGGAGCAATTAAAACAAAAATTTCCAAACATCTACACAAAGAATCCATCATTAACCCAATGAGATATAATGCCTCCCAGACAATTTTTGGTTAGTTAATTGTTAGGTCAAGAAAGAAAACTAAGGATTGCCAGGTTATTTGATAGCCAAAGACAAATAAGTCAAGGACACTATAAAATAGAGTATAAAAGAATTCAGTAAGTGACCTACTTTAAAAAGTTCACAAAAACCACTTGTATGAAAAGTCAAAGAGAAGTGCTATTTCAGCATTACAGACTTCTGAGTTAAAGAATGACAGTAAAGTTAACTACATGTGTGAGATTGCTCTAATTTATTCTAGAAGATTCCCCTTCCTATAATATATTTTCCCAAAGAAAAAGTGGCATATATGATAGGTAGTTTTTCTGATAGACCCTGGAAGTTAACACGGCTGAAAGTTTCAGTGCTTTGTTTTTTAGACCTATAAAATCAGAATTGGCTTAAATCCAAGTACTATCCAGCTGTGACACTTGGTTTTCAAACTCTGATTTTAGCAGGGCTTCACAAATTTACATTGCTTCTGTTGAAATATTTTAAAATAATAACAAAAGACACATTTTCTTTTTATCTCCATAGTATCTTTAGTTTAAAGTTTCAATGAGATACTGTGGGGGTTGCATGCATAGGTAAAGGGGTCTATTATATAAATGCAAAACAAATTATGTTTAATGTTCATATTAATGTGGGTTTGTGTCTAAGATAGGGAAAAGATATTAGTGAGTTCATTAATTAAAATCCTATTAATTCTGTCAAATTTAAAAAAAAATTTAAGATATTTTATTTTTCCAATTAAACTATAATTTATTAAAATGAGGCAACTCCTGATGAGAATTCTCATTCTGGGCACTAATCAGCTCAAAAGTGTACCCTTGCTTGGAATTTAATTTTGCTTTATTAGCAATTCATGCTTAAGGAAGCTCATGGAGTCTATTTGTTCTTGGCAGGTGTGTGCCAAAATGTCTGCCAAGATTATGATGTTTGATGAACAGCTAGGAAAAAGAAATATGTGTGGGTTTAAAAATTTTAAAAATTAACCGCAAGGCCTTTTTAAAGACAATTTTATTTTACTACATATACAAAGGGAGAATTGTTTTTTCTAACAATGTTTCCTACTTTTATTATCAACATGTCTTCAGTGGTACACTGCTGAAGAACGTCTATGCCATTACTGGCTGCCCTGGGCTATCACATAACCAATAAAATTTCTTCTTTGGCAATTTAAAATACAAATCTCTCTAGAGGCATACATTGCCTCTAGCCCATCCACGTGACCTCATGTCACATTTCTCAAGTTGCTGAGTCACAGATGCTCCCTCCATAAGGCAAAAGTAATCTTTAGTTCCCCAGAATAATAAACACTTTTAAGATTACAATCATGCCTCTCTATAGCACTTAGATGGGTTTGGATCTGCTCCATGGAATTCCTTTCCTCTCAACAGAAGAGCACTCCCAATTATCAGTACTTGAGAATATTTAAGTCTTCCTTCATTTAAAATTCAATGGCATAAAAAGTTATGAAAGTGGTTCAGCACGCAGTTCTATGATGACCTCAAATTTGCTATATTGAAACTTCCCTTTAGCGGAAATTTATACTCAAATAATATTCTTCTAGAAATTCTTAAATGTATATAAGAGAAATCTCTTATTTAAGAATAAAACGAAGTATTTTAAGATTAACTTAAAAAAATTAAGATGCACTTAGAATCTAATTGACCAGCAGATTTTCCATCTTAGCCCACTCACCTTTCCCGAGGAACAGCAAACCAGTACTCGGGCTGTTTTCTTCGTTTGCCATACTGCTGGACCATGGCTGCCGTGTGAGTGGCAAAAGATTTTCTCATTGGTTTTCCCACTTTAATGCACAGAAACATGGGTGGAGTCTTGCTTTTCTCTTCTTTTGAAGGAAGTATATCTGCATCACACATGCAAAAATATCTTCCTCAATACTGACAATATTGGTGACAGTAACACCGTTCAAGTAACAAAGAATAGTGTTTAATCCCCTCGTAGTGATGAAAAGTCAAAACATATGGCAGAAACATCATACATCATCATCACACTGGGACTAATTAAAATTTTCAGACCCTCTTAAGCATGAAAGGAGAAAGCTTTGGACGTTTCAGGTTGGTCTACATCACATGAGATGCTACGTCCTACGAATGAGCATAAAAACCAACACACGCCTGGCTAGCATAGTTCAGGGGCTGAGCGTAGACCTAGGATCCAGGAGATCTGGGTTCGATTCGCACTTAGGGCACATGCCCCGGCTGCAGGCTCAATCCCCAGCAGGGGGAGTGCAGGAGGCAACCAATCAATGACTCTCATCATTGATGTTACTCTCTCTCTCCCTCTCCCTTCTGATCTCTGAAATCAATAAAAATATATTTAAAAAAAACAAAAAAAATAACACAATACCAAACCATGGAGAATTGTGACAAGCCACAAGAATACACATTAATCAATGATACTAAGGACCCAGTCACACCAAAGTGTAACAGTTTAGAAATGAAATACCAAAAAATATTTTAAACTCCTTTAGATTTAGAAATTCAAGGTTAAAAAGGAAAGTTACTTGAAAAATTTAAAAAAAGCAAACTACTTTTGAAATAGAAATCTGTCACTTAAAGTTCCAAATTACATACCATATAATGCTAATTTTTTCCAATTATTAATGTATCAGTAAAGATATACTCTTTCGTTCTCAAATGACTGTACTACTTGTGCATATGCATGTTTAAAAAAGTCCAACTATATAACAGAGTATAAAGACATTAAAGAAAAGTGACTTACCTTCAATGGGTACCTGAATTCTCTTTAACAGCCATAACTGGATTTCAGATTTATTATCCATTTGTGCGCCTTGGCAGCTACTGTCCAGAGTAGATTCCAAAGAGTTGCCTAGAGACTCTTTACTCATATTTTCTTCTGTAGAAGAGCCCAGTTGCAGTGGATGGGGTGCTCTCTCTTTCACCCAGTTTTTATCTGGCTCTTTTTTGCCCTCAATTGGGGGCTCACTGACCTGGGGAAGAGAACTACTAAGGGTGATGTCTATTCCCTCTGGCTCAATATTTTTGCTATCACTTAATTCTGCCTTCTGCAGGTTATCAGACATCTGTGAGCCTTCCTTGTTCTTACTAAGGTAGTATTCGATGAGTTTAACTTTATCTAGATCTTCGTGTATGTTCAGTGTGTTTTCCACCTGGCTTTCTGGAGAACCAGGCTGCTTATCCACCTCTGGCATTTTATCTTGCTTCTCACAGGTTTCTAAATCTAGGGCCCCCTTCAGTTCAGCATCACTCTCTGTTCCTGAAAAGCTCAGGGCTGCCTGCACCTGCATTTCCGCAGAACTGATTGTCTGTGACTTAGCCTTGCTTTGCTCCTCTGGGCCAAGAGAAAGGCACTCCTTTGAGGTGTCTCTTTTGTCCATTCCACTATCATTTTGAGAAGGAAGCTCCTCCAAGTCAACGAAGTCATCATCTTCTCCTAAAAGGGAATTTTCTTTGGCTACAGATTTAAAGTCAGTATGAGGGTCTGGAGGTTCCTTGCTGACCTTAGCTACCGTGGTCGATCCAGTGGTGGCCTCCACAGAGGAGCCCAGGTTCTTTAACGTTCCTGACACTGAGCCGTCCGAGGGCTTCGTATGTGTGTACTCTGTTGGTTTCTCCAAAGGCCTTGTTGCTCCGGAATCTGAAGTGATGGGTCTCTCTCCGTTCTGCTGCCGTTTTTCCTTGTTGAGAGATTTGAACTTACTAAATGGGTTGATATCCTTCTCCGAAGCCAGGTCCTCCCACTCTCCAGGCCTGTACAGAGGACAAAGATCCTGAGGTAGGTCACTGTGGAGGGAAAGCGGTGGGTGCACATGGAATGTTAAAAGCAAAACCAAAAGCAAAATGGAGGAAAGCAAAAACCAAAACAAAACCCAGCCAAAAACCAAAACAGAAATATACCACAACTTAAATGAATGTTTAAATGACTTCAGAATAAGAAAATGAAATTTAAAAAAATTAACTTCAAAATGAAACACAGGAAGCGGCAAAGCACAGGACCGTGAAAGCTGTATATTCCCCTAGAAGACAGGAAGGGCTGTCGAAGTGGTTAATGAACACGGAGACTGCATCCACCAGACTTTTCATGGAATAATATTTCTCGTTTTCATGAAGGACAAAGGAGGGGAAATGTTTTAGTTCTATGACTACACTTCCTTAAATATTTAAAGCTTTCCCTTGTTATAAAATAGTACATAAACCAACTACGTTAATTCTGAATGGCTCATTGCGTAGCTACACATTTAACTGTTCTATAAAGTGATTGACCCTTAAGCCTAATTTGGGGTTTCATGGTTTCGGATCTAATGCTTCCAATAACAGACATCCTTCTGTTATTCCCAAGGGAGCAAGAGCAAGCTTCCACTATTAATGGGGATATATAGTACCTGTTCCATTTTACAACTTAAACATCTATAGGAAAGCGAATCAAATAAGCTCTTACTTATAATACTTAGTTTGAATTTCTTAACTAAGTTCAAATTTCTTAGCACTTTCATCTTCTAACACTATCATTTTACTTTATGACAATGGGCAATTGGTTTACCAGCTAAGCTTACTGTCTTTGGCTGCAAGCAATTTATTTTTCTTTACTACTCAGATTTGAGTTATACAAAAATATTGATTAAAGATGTTTTCCACAATTTAAAATAAATGCTAAAACCAACAACATATGTTTTAAACTATGACTGGAAATATCTTGAGTAACCCATGTTTTCACTTACCTTAGTGTCCGCCCTAGGTTAAAACACAGGGATATAAAAACCTTTTTTAAAAATGACATTTTCAGATTTGAGAAATAATTTGATTTTCTAAAAAGGTTAGATCATATTCAGATAATACTTTATTATTATGGCTTTGAAATAATTATGACAGTAAAACAACAAAGGACCAGGAAGTTCTCAAGTTACAAGACTGTCACACCAGTTATTTAATAAATCACTTGCATGGAACATCCATGCTTTTTCCAATAGAAAATAACAGTGAACATAATGGTTAGGCTCTGACAAATGCTTTAAAAAGCCTCTTTAATTCATAATTCACTTCAATTCACTAAGCATTTACTGAGCCCCTAAGTGCCATATGCTAAAAAATGACCGTGACGGCGTCTCTGCTCTGCAGGAACCTGCATACTCAGAAAGGTGCTGCCCAACACTAGCATTCAGATGTTAAAGATGCTTCCATCCTAGAGTCAAATAAATGACTGTAATGTGGTATAGTTTCCATATTAGGATCCAAAATTTAATTTGGCATATTAAAGGCTGTAAGAAGTCCTGCAACAAAGAAACCCAGCTCTTCACATACTTGATGAATAAGCAAAACTTTTTTCCATAAACATCCAAACCCCTTTCTCATTGCTTGCTTATCTGTCTAGCTTGACCCCCAGAAAGAAGACATCTGACTGCACTCTAGTCAGTCTCCTGTATTACCTTTTTGTCTATCCCTCCCTTCTGGTTCCTCTACCTAACCAAGCTGAGATTAATTTAGCCATCTGTTTTTCCTGCACTGCAGCTGCCAAGCACTGCTAGGGCAAAGTACATAGTTGTGTCAACCAACTCTGCTGTTGATTAATGTTTTCTACACTCAGCCAGGCACCTAAAAATGATCAATAATCCTTTCAGTTGCTCCCTTCCTATTTTCTGTGGCAGCTGGAGTTGCAAAATGTCCTACACAAAAAATACAAAGCCTTAAGATGAAGATAGATTTTACACACACACACTTAAAAACTATTTGCACACTGCAGCTGATTTACAGTTCTTGTTTTACCATATAATTTTTAGTAATAATAAAATCTTAAGCTATTTTAAACTTTTTAAACAAGTGATGGAATTCTGAAGTCCCTAATGCTAAGTTCATTTCACACTGATTGCATTCATACAACATATTTTCCTCATTGTTCATTAGGCTGAAAAGTCTTTATATACCTGCATCCAAGGCAGGAATCAGTATACAACTCTGAAATAATTTCAACACATTAGCAGCCAACTCTTAACTCTTGTCTTTCTCCCCAGTTATGGCATTAGCCTTGTATCCTTGATCATTAAACACCAACTCACAAGGAGAGAAATCTTTCTGTAAAGATGAACCTTCCCTTTCTATTATTAAAAAGAATATTTAACGCCCTAAGCTAAAGATGTACAATAGTATTACTCCATTAGAAGTCATCACTAGGCAAGAAATGCCCTTATTTGCCTGACCGTCCACTTCCACCCTCAACCATATATCTTTACCTAATCTTATCTTCTTTCCTCTTATCACAGAGAACACAATATTCATTCCTTCTTTCCAAAACGAATTCCTCACTGCTTCTTCTCTGCCTCCATCTAAGATTCTAAGGCAGCTGGACCCTCACATGGGTCTCATGGGATGCTCTTTTCACTTCTTTGTGTACAGTCTTTATATACAGAATGACTAACTCTGTCCATCTGTCTGTTGTACCCAGCAGACTGCAGGCTCCTCAAGGGCAAGAGCCATGACCCACTTATCTTCATAGCCTAGTCACCTAAAAGGCATACACTGAGATGTATTACGAGCCTCAATCCCCGCGCATCACAAGACTCCCACAGAACGATGAACAGAGTTTCAGATATGAATTAAAGGTTCATGTAATTACAGCCTATATTTACTACGTGCCAGGCTATTTTCTAAGATTTTGGTCTATCAATGCACTTAGTTCTTACAACAGCCCAAGATAAGCTGAAGAATACTATTAATTCCATTTTACAATGAAAAAACTGAGGCTTGAGACTGAGTAACTCCTGTAGGACATGAAGCCATAAGTGGCAGAGCCAGGAAAACCCATGAAGTGTGGCTCCCTACCTAATCATCATGTAGGACTGCCTCCTAAACCTCTCACTTGGACACCCCCAGCAGAAGTTAGAAACTTCCTCAGTGCCCACATTTGGTGGTAGCTTCAGCGGCTTGGAGTTGGGTAGGGGCTGAGGGGATCAGGCATTGAGGATTGTAAGAGTCCAGAGGAACATACTGGCATAAACTCCTAAAAACTTTGTGTCTCAGTTAATTCCCTGGTTACCTGTCCTTCTCTTCATGAGTCCCAAGGACCAGTTTCCCTTTGCATAGTTAGAACCCACAGCCTTGCCTCTCTACCTTTCTATCACTAAGGGTTTCTAGAGATTGTCACTGATACTATATATACAAAACAGACACACTGACAAAGTGACAGTAAGAGTCAGGTTGTCCCTGCAAGTGGATCAATTCCCCGAGCTCTCTTAACCCTCTTTCTCTTTCTTCATGAGAAGCTTCCTTCTTTTTAAACAAACAAACAAACAAACAAACAAACAAACAAACACACGCCCTCAGTTTTATAAGGCAGAAATAATCAGGACTAAAGTAATATTCATCTACATTTCAGAGATAAAACAAACCAGCATTACACCCTCCTCACACCACTTCAGGCAGTGAGGCTACAGGGACAGTGGCTGCTGTCCAGTCCTACGTGGGACTGGGGAAGACAGGAGATGGGAAGACTGCCTATCCCAGAATTTGAATAAAGAACATAACTCAGCTTAACAATGAAAGTGGGAGAATAATACTAAAATTCTTTCAGAGAAACTTCATTTCTTCTTTCATAAATTCATTGAGAACATGTATTGCTTTTCAGGAAAATAAGCCAAACAAATACCATTTCTACGTACTGGCTTATTTGCTTTTCTTCTTTCATTTTTGTATGTTCAACTCTTCCCTACCACTGATGGTTACCATTTCCATTTCCTCTCACTTTCCTATGTTCTTAAATATAGTACACTAATCTCCACCGTCAAATCCTAACCTCCACACAATCTCTTGCTCCTGCCAATGCTCTCACTTTTTAATTGCATTTAATTCTCCCAAGAACACCCCCCTTTTTTCTGATAAATGAGAAATGTCTCTTACGATGGCAAGGCATCTTTGATCTTCATGTGGGAAATGTCATTGTAGAGAGCAATGGAAACCACCTCTTCCATGGGGCAAATGAGGCCGTACTCCTCACACCCATTTTCAATGACCAGGGGGTCGGACTTGTGAGGGTCAAACATGATGTTGTTAGGAGTGACAATCATGACACCTCCGACCACGCCCTGCAGGACAAATGGACAGGACAGAATCACTACAGGCACAAATGCAACCACCAAGGGAGTTTTAATGAACTCATGCTATCTTCCCATTGACTTTAGTGAGCCACAGGATCCTACATGACAATCACATCTCCTTTAAGAGGGTTGGGAAAACAGGCTGAAGACATGCAGTGTTGGGTACTGTGTGGTGAGGCAGAAAAAACAGACTGGACTCACTGTAGCAATCAACCGAGCCTGGTTCAGGCACAGCTGCTATGATAGTACAATTGTGGTGGCATCTTGGGTTACACATATAAGTCTCAGATTCCCCAATTCCTGGCTGTAAAATGAGAGGGGCTGTCCCAGATGCCTTCCTGATTGAGAACCGAGTGCTTTAGAATCCACTCAGCACATATTCACCGTGTTTCCAAGAAGTACATGGTGCTGTGCTAAGGGAGCAGCTGTCTCCGAGTCAGGGTGCCAAAGTATAGTCCTAATACTTCTCTCTGAAATGTTTAGAGAGCTTACATCCAGGAAAATTTGACACAAATAGGAATATAAAATTTTTGCATAAGTGAATATAGCTGAACTATGGAAATTAAAAGCCAAAAACAACAGTTTCGTGGGAACTTAAAAGTCTGAAGCTTGTTCAATTTATATTATAGACCCTGATGGCCATAAGGATATTACTACCAGACAGCAGGATACTGATGATTCCCTTTAGGTAAATAATTTATTTCATACTCTTAATGACTTCAGTGATAATCTTTGCAAAAAGTTTTGCATCTCAGGCATTGCTTGTTCTTGATTGAAAAAGTTAGGAGTCCGTATTAATAACACATTTTCCTATCATTTGGAACCTGCCATGATGTTTCTACTATGAGAACAAGAAATCACTTTATACCAACATAACCCCCTCTTCAAAGGCTCATTAAAAGTTGAGTTTGCTCTGTGTGAAAAACACCAACAACAAAAAAACTAAACACGCGACAGCAGACATTTTAATACCAGCATCTAAAGCAGAAGAAAGCTGAGAACTCACCATTTTCCAGGTTAGGCGCTAAGCTCCTTACATGAATTGTCCCTTGTAATTACAATACTCTACCATTTAAATTTTATTGCTGTTCCTATTTTATAGATGAGGAAAATGGAAGCTTAGGAAATTTAAATACCTCGCCCATGGTCTCAGAGCTAATGGGTGGCAGAGTTGGAATTTAAATTCAGGGAGTCTGCCCAGCCGGGCATGGCTCAGCAGTTGAGCGTCGACCTGGGATCCAGGCGATCAGGGTTCGATTCCCAGTCAGGGCACATGCCCAGGTTGCGGGCTCAATCCCCAGTCGGGGGTGTGCAGGAGGCAGCCAATCAATGACTCTCTCATCACTGATGTTTCTATCTCGCTCTCTCTCTTTTCCTCTCTCTGAAATCAATAAAGATATATTTAAAAATAAATAAATACATACATACATACATAAATAAATTCAGGGAGTCTGACTCCAGTATTTGCTGTTAAACATATACTACACTTGCCTAGCTGGCGTGGCTCAGTGATTGAGCGTTGACCCATGAGCCAGGAGATCATGGTTTGATTCCTGGTCAGGGCACATGCCCAGGTTTCGGGCTCATTCCCCAATGGGGGACATGCAGGAGGAAGCTGATCAATGACATTCTCTCACCATTGATGTTTCTATCTCCCTTTCCCTCTCCCTTCCTCTTTCTGATATCAATAAGAACATACCAAAAATCAACAACATATACTACCTTATCTCCCTAACAATTTATAGGCCAAGAACTGAAAAGTAAAATGATAAACCCAAGGTCACAAGAAGCATATTTCCACCCAATGATCACATTTCCCTCAATAAGTAAAATGCCACGCATTCAACTGGAGAAAACTAATGGACACTTGTGAAATCTTACGTTGAAACTTTGGGTAAGATAGTTTAATGTAGCCTGCCTTCAGTAATTTGAAACCTAGTTTGGTTTTCCATAGATTCCAAGAAAAGGAAACAAATTACACTGCCATATACCTTTCCATCGGTGAAGTATCGACAATTCATTTTTAAAAATTTTACCACGCCTGGCTCGTCTTCTTCAGAAGTAGATGATAGGACTCTTTCAATGGGTTTTATGGCCTTTCTTGCTAAGTCAGCATCCTTTAGAAAGCAAAAATTTCCAAAGTCAAATAGAAGCAATTTTCCAAAACAGATTATTTACAGGAATCAAGCCCCATAAGTTCCCTGTAAATAACCTGTTTCTATTTAACTTAAATACAAATAAGGCAAATGTCTTTTGTCATTCAAAAATATCACATATAGAACAATAAGTATCTAAATCAAACGGAAATTTTTTAAAGAGTGCATATGTATGAACCTATAAAAATGGCTCATCAAGTATCTTTAGAAAATAACCTAAATAATAGAATTCACATTGGATGGTGGTTCGATTTCTTTAGAAAAAGGAGTAAAAGTAGTATAAATAAACTACCAGTCTTGGTGAGAGTTTAACTTCATACACATGTAAACAAGGTGTATGTTTTTGCCTTTGAGACCTTAAATGTGAACAGGTTTCTTCTGGATAAAATGCATTCTCTCAACCAACAACAAATTACACTTAACACCAACTCCTTTGGGAAAAATTTAAGATGAAATCTTGTAAAAAAGAACATGCAGAATTCTATAACAAAATATATTCTATATTTATAAGTTCACATGTAACTATGAACTTCGGCGCATGAATGACATACATACAGGCAGCTTATCATACTCTGCATCTGATGATGAAGGAGAGACAGTAGCACCAGGACTGGATGATGAGAACCTTAAGGTACTAGAGGGAAAGTTGGCATCTGGCACAAAAAGAACCTGAGAAGCGGAAAGAAAAGTGAGGTGAGTACCGAGAATCAGGCAAACCCTAGGCAATGTTTCGAGCAGTTACTCTCTGCACAGTATCATTAGGTGCACGACTAAGACCTAGCTGGCTTTCACCAAACTCAAGCAACCTGAGGTCTTTCAGACTATTCCATGAAACAATATGCAGCAATATGAACATATGCGATGCAAAGGGACCAGACACACCCACAGGCACTGCAGAAGCTCACAAAGTGGGGAGCGAGGGGGTGAGTATTCTGCATGAGCCATGTGAAGCAGGTGGGGCCAGTGAAGCCTTGAGCGGCACAGTACACAGTGCGTCGGTAGGGAGGAAAGAGCTTTCGGGGAGGGTACTGGTAGTGCGAGGAAACGAGGGGAGAGAAGCATGGCATGCTTCTAAACGTAACACCTGTGTCAGGAAGAAATGAAACAAATCCAGGTTTGCTAACTCCAAGCAGGCCTTGCGTAATAATGCAGTAAGGTCCTTATATGATAAACTATACAATGTAATAGCAATAATCTCAATACTTTCTCTTCCATCACTGGGTTATCTGGAAACAAAAATAAGAATCTTCAAAGATTGTAAAAAACAGCCTCCTTTTGCAAAATGTTCTGGTTCCTGAGATGTTATTATGAGCCTATCATTCAACACTCTTTTAATGAGACACGCTACCTTTTGGCATATATTAAATACAATCTTCAAATGATGACCTCAAATGTTATAAAACACAATTCAGAGCTAATACTGTAACAGCTATTCAATATTTCAACATTGTTATTCACTCTCTCCCACCCCTCCAGTAATATCTGTTTTAACTTTAGTTATTTAAATCTTTCTTCAATCCAGAAAAAAAAAAACACAAAAAAAAAAACCCCACCACCCAAAGACACATTAAGATAAAGGTGAGAAAATCAACATCAAGGAGGGATAAGATAGATAGTAACTACTACTGAAAACCTGGGCTCCAAAATTACAAATGCTCACTGACAGGTAAGCCATAAAACTGGCCGTGAAGCAGCATCAGAAAGTCTAGAGTAAAATTTTAGTTCAGCAAGCTCCCAGGTAACACTCTGAAAATCACCTCTGACGGTGGTGGGTCACTCATCCAGCCACACCAGTTCTCTTTCCTACCTCAAGATGACCTTCAACTCAGGCTCTAGAAAGGTGAGCCTCAAATTTTCTGAAACCAGAGCAGATAAAACCAGTTTTGATTAATCAGATGTACTGAGATGAGAGGGATGCCTACCTCTCCAAGCAACAAGACAGACTATGTAAAATCTTTGAAAGCAAAATATCATCTACAGTTTTTGAAAGTGTTACTCTTTTCAATTCCTTATCTTTGCTGGTAAAATAAAGAGGTCAGCCAGATCCTGGGACAACTAACAGCACCTAACTGTTCAGTTATATGAGTGCTGGACAGCACAGCAAAGGCTGGAGGACATCTAAGACAATGCAGCCCAACCTCTAACTTCAGAGATTAGAAAGCTGAGGTCCAAAGAAGGAAGTGACTTGCCCAAGTCAAACAGCTCTCCCAAGGCTAAAAGGAACAAACTTTGGAGCACCTATTCCTGGTGTTTTTACCCTTACAGTAGGCATATTTAAACAGTCCCTATATCTGTCGTTGCCTACTGGACCTTAAGCAGCAATAAACTATCTGTTTATGGACAGGGTAAAAGAAAAACGAATCGCTGAATTTTTTACTACGTTCCAGTAACTACAGTATTCAGCCTTGAATTAGTAAATATCGGCATGTAGGGTCTCTGCTATGTGTCAATTATACAAAAAAAAGGTTCCTGGACTCAATTCCAACATGGAGAGTACGGCTCCCCCCACACCAACAATGTTTGGACACCATCAGAGTGTACAAGAATTCAACTCAATTCTGATACTATCTACTTGGAAACAGCATCAGATTCCACAGGTTAAGGGTTCAGTCTTATAAGATTGCACCACCTCCCCATACACACACACTTCAGATACCAGGAGCAAGTTCAGGCTCTTACCTATGTTTCTGACCAACCTGCTATAGATTGGGTGTTCCAGTGACCCCCTCCAACTCAGGATGCCAAATGCAAGTCCAGGTTGGCATCTGTACTTTGGAGCAACTGGCTATAAATCAGAGGTTCCCACAAGCCCCTCCTTGGGTTCGCTTAATTTGCTAGAACAGCTCACAGAACTCAGAGAAACATGTTACTTACTAGGTCACTGGCTTATTGTCAAAGGATACAACTCAGGAACAGCCACATGAAAGACATGCATAGGGCAAGGGATGGGAAAAGAGCAGGGGGCTCTGATGCCCTCTACAGGCTCACCACTCTCCCTGAATCTCCACATATTCACCAACCTGGAAGCTCTCCTAAGCCTGTCATCTCGGCTTTTTATGGAGGCTTCATTACGCAGTCATTCATGATTGGCTAGATCACTGGCCCTTGGTGATTCAATCGTCAGCACCTCTCACCTCCTTGGAGAGGTGCTGGCCTGGGGACGTGGGGGGAACAACCCATGGAAAGTTCCAACCCTCTAATAACATGGCTGTCTCCTAGCAACCAGCTGCCATCCCTAGGTGCTTTCCAAAAGTGACCTGATTCGCAAAACAAAAGGCAACTTTATCACTCTAAGCACATGGAAAATTCCAAGCATTTCAGGAGCTGTGAGCCAGGAATTGTGGAAGAACAAGTACAGGGGTGGGCAAAAGTAGGTTAACAATAATAATTAAAAATAATGCAATAATTAATTAATAAATAATACAAGAATAAACTCATTCTATGTACTCACAACTGTAAACCTACTTTTGCCCAGCCCTGTATATATGAGAAATATACTTTGGTCATTCTTATAAATCATAATAATGCAAGCATTATGCAGCAATACTCCATTAATTTTCCTAGGGATGAAAATTTATTAATTTTTAAAAAGCTTTAATGTATATTTCCCCTCAGCTACCTGGTCCTAGCAGTATTCTAATTTCTCCTTTTGACAAGGACATAAATGCCAAAAGCACAACAGTACAAACTGGCCAACTATGGCCTGTTGGCTTCAAGTGCTTCCCTTGAAAAAATTGCAAAGAACAATATCACCATTGCCTGAATGAAGTTATACTTAAAAGTAGCAGTATCTGTCCTGAAAGAATTAAATAACGCAGATGCCAGGAATTGTGGAAGAACAAGTACAGGGGTGGGCAAAACGCAGATGCAGGAGGATGCAATGAAACCAGAATGTGCTCATAGCAACCAAGCAGCTCTATGGATGGGACTGAACACCTGACCTCAGCTCAGATCCGCCAATGACTGGGTCACTTACATTTATTGTCTAAACGTAGTTTTCAAATAGAAATACAAGAATGTCTTATCATGTAGACAATACTAAAAAAATTTTGCTGGATTAATCAATAGTGGTATAATTGTCTACTTTGTCAATTTCATTCAGTTTAACAAAGAGAGTACTAAAATTCTGAAAAAAAAGTCTCTGTGGCCTTTTCTTGATGGTCCTGCTGAATGTCTCTGTCTTTGGCTTAATAGACTATTTTTGTCAAAATGGTATCAAATGGAAACAAGAATGACAAAAAATTATGCCTAATTTAAAATAAAATGATTGCCATAATATACCCCAGGAGTGGACTAAACTAAAACTTGCAATTCTTAATTAAATATCCTAAGAATATCTATGTGATATTCTATAGGAAAAAGTCACAGTGATTTAACTTTTCTTGAGGCTCTAGAAAACATTACAATATAAGCTAGTAATAGTTAAGTAAACTGTGTTAATCATTTGCAAAACATTCATCTCTGAACAGTTCATAAGTACTAGGTGCTTTCAGAATTCTTGGACCTAAAGGAGAGGAAAGACTGAACCAATGCACATTATCATTAATGATAATCCTGTGACACTAACAGTGAGGCATTAAAAATGGCAATAATACATAAATGTAAAATTTCTAAAGTAATATTCAACAAGAAAATCATTACCTGGCCCGGAACAATAGTATGTGTGAAAAGTTTATTCAGTTCCACTAATTTATTGGGAGTGATGTTGAACTTCAGTGCTATGGAGTTTAGGGTGTCCTGGCTTCCAGCCTAGAATAGTCCAACAAACAAGATTCAATATATAAAGCAAAACAGAACAGAACAAAAACTTCCTTTTGACTGACATATCTATTTATGATAAGAATGAATAAAAACTAATACATACATCTAGATGTATTATGAAAAAGAGTGAATACATTTTCAATTCCTAAGGAAAAAAGTTTTCAATGTTATGCATTTCTGGGCTCCCTTATCTTCAATTGTACTGTTCACTAATAGATTTCTAAACTTACTTTGGCACAACTTTGGTATATGGAGCAGAGGTCCATGAGATAGAATACAAAACTGTAAGAAGAAAAGAAATAGAACATACACACAGTACCACCCACAGGGGGAATAGGACCACTTACTTTCTCTTTGCTTTTTTCTGTCTACTTGCCTGTCTCTTCACTGTACTATAGGCTACTGGATGGTGACCTGTTAATGGCCATTTTCCTCCACAGTGCCTGACAAGTAAAAGGTACTCAGATATTTGATGAATGATAATGAACAGAGTCAAAAGCTGAAAGAAAACTAGGTTAGCCACCAGTGATTGTTCACTGTCATTAAAAATGACAACTTCCTATAGTGAGACAAATCAGCGTTATTCTACAAATCTATAAAACTAGTGATACGTGTTGTTCTTTTCTCTCTAACAGAGGGAGACTAGGAATAAAAGGGCAGTGAGAAGATGTGAAACTTCACAGTACAAGAGCTCTATCCTAAAAAAGAAGTCGGCTGCCTCTGGTCAGGTCAATATCCCAGGATAGACTCCCTATCCAGGATCACTGGATGGATCTTGTTAGTGGGAGGTTACATTGATGAATGTCACTGAGAAGTTCCCACCTACAGCCCTAGGTCAAGACTGGTGGCTGTCCCTATAAGCAGAACTGTCTCCACCAGGTGAGCCTTGAATTAGGTGGAGATGTGAGATGACTGCAGGAGACTGTGAACTGGTGAAAAGAATTAAACTCACCACTGCCAACTAGATGAACTATCTCAGGCTAATCAAACTCATAGTTACGGGTTATACTAAAATTACTTTAAAGCATTCCTAGAAAAAGTTAGGATATAAATACATATTTTTTAAAATCATTGAAAACAATATAAGCTCTAACCTCTACCCTGAGCAAAATTATCTTTACTAAAAATGAAAAAAAGGCCCAGCCAGGCATGGCTCAGCAGTTGAGCGTCGACCTACAATCCTGGTGATTGGGGTTCAATTCCCGGTCAGGGCACATGCCCGGGTTGCGGGCTCAATCAATGACTCTCTCATCATTGATGTTTCTATCTCTCTCTCTCCCTCTCCTTTCCTCTCTCTGAAATCAATAAATATTAAAAAAAAGAAAAAAGTTTAAATATACATATTTTTCCAATATTAGATATTTACATAATATAGGGTGGGAAAAAGTAGGCTTACAGTTGTGAGTACATGAAACAGAGTTTATTCTTGTGTTATTATTTATTGTATTATTTGTTTGTTTGACAATTGTAAACCTACTTTTGCTCACCCCTGTATATTCAAATCCAGGGAATGTTAGAATTTAGAGTCAGTACAAGACACAGATTGCGAATACAGACTAGAACCCAGACTGTTGGATCTGAATTCCAGATCTTCCACTTGCTAGCTGTGTGACCTCGGGTTATTTGCTTAACCTCTCTGGGTCTTTTTTTTCATTCACCATATAGAGATAATCATAATTTCTGCTCGACAGAACTTACTTTATGGGAAGCAATCGATAAATTCACTTCATATTTTTATGAAAAAACTTATAGAAAATACTGTGTACATGGAGTTAAACTTAAGGAAAGGAAAAACTTTAACAATCTAGGGTTATGACATAAGGATAAGACATTTATAGAGAACCAAGTCACAGACCGTGGAAGGCATTCTTATTACCATTAACTGTTTGAAACTTATCAGAATGCTTGAATATCTTCAGGTCAGGAGCAATATAAGCAATATGGTAAGAGCTAGCATGGTTCTCTAAACACGAAGTTATGAATCACTTTTTAATTCCAATAAAACAGACAAAACAACTTGCCAAGTAACACTAATATCCATAACATAAATCAAACAGATGGGTGTTTCTGCATTTCTAATTTAACCACCTGCTGATATGAATTAATTTGGAGTTTATTTGGGCTCTCACTTCACTGCTTAGTGTGTGCTATGTGAAGCATCCTAGCAAACAATACTTCTCATTTCTTTGGAGGGGCCTGTGGATGCACAGACTGCTTTAGACTATTGTTATTAATGACAAATATGCCAACATTCTTTGAGTACCTGCTATGAAGTAAAGCACTGTGCAAGGTGTTGTGGGACCAACTATATAGTGTAATCATAGTGGTAATGTCAGCTATATAATCACCCCAAATCCTTTCTGGAAAGGGCTAGGCCTATAAACCACAGCAAGATGTTTAGAGATGTTCAGAGCACTGAGCAGAAAATGCCTGTGCCAGGGCTCTTCACTGTGACTCTCTGGAGGCTTGGAGAAGATGGACCACTCCCAAAGAACCACCAGGAAGGGATCTGGTCCCGCTGCTTGCCTTAGATAGAGCCTGGCATGCATACAACTAATCAGTGGAAAGTAAACACGCATGATGAAAACACAACCAGGCGATGGCAACAGCACTTAATTTCTTCTTAGATGTCAGCACACTCCTCGACAATGCTATTTCAATGTGAATTAAAACACATCTATAACTCAGTGGCCCACATTACACCAGGCCTAAGAGAAACAGAAGAGTTCCTGGCTTCCAGGAGCTCATGGTGCAGTGAGAGCAATGAGCATCTGCCACATAACATAGAGGCACAGTGATGAACAGATGCACAGCATTGTTCAGCTATTGGTTCAGCAACACGGAGCTCTGCACCCTGCAAGCACCCGCAATACAATGGTGGCCAAAAATGGGTCTAGCTTCTACCCAGGGATGTATGAATGAAGGCACACGACAGACATTAAAATAATAATCACACTAGTGAATCAATAATATCAAACTGAGATAAATTATGTAAAGGAACATGATTCTATGAGGGAATAAAATGAAGAGAGATCTGGCCTAGACTTGCTGGATGATTATAAAAGGTAAGAATGAACATGGAGAGTAATGGGAAAATGTTGAGGCTAAGGTTCTGGATGTAGAAAGGTATGGATGATGGAGCCATTGCTGCTTTAAAAAAGACTAAGCATGAAGGTCTAAGTAGATATGTTGAGAAGTTAACTGAATCTATAATTCTGGAACTCAGATAGCATGTCTGGGATGGAGACCTAAAACTGGCTGTCATTGGCTTATTGTAGGTAATTCAAGTCACAGGTGTAGATGAGATTGCCCAGGGAGAAAACATGGAGAGAAGAGTGACTCAGAACAGGTCTTAGGAAGCCGCAATGCTTACTGGGTACATAAGAGGAACGCAGCTAAGGGCAGCATGTGTTCCGGGACACATTACGTGAATCTAGTAATATTAACAGAAAATCAACTTCCTATTTATACTTACAGTGTATTCCACAGTCCCGTGGGGCTTCTGAACCACCATCTTCTTCTCTTTTTTATCATGTGTTTTGTTTTGATTGTCATCTGAAGAATAAAATGTGTGTAAATGAATAATTTAATTTTGGCAATTGAGCACAGGGTAATCGACAGTGTACTAGAACCCACTTTCAAACTGCCTATTAAAAAAGACAACAAAATAAAATGGACTAAGGGTGCAAACAGACCACACTTCTACATACTATTCGTCCATGAACACTTTCATAAATTATTAACTGCAATAAAATAATACAAATACTAAGGTAATGTTATTAAAGTAATAGTCTAAATGATAATATCTAAAGATGAAGGAAGAGTAATGATAATGCAGACTGACGCATAATGTAAATAAGTACAACCCTTCTAGAAAGTGATCTGTCAACATGTAACAATAGCCATAAAAATGTCCATTCTTTGACATTCCTTCCCATAGGAATTTATCCTAAAGAAATATTCAAAAGGAGAAAAATGCTACATGTCACAGTATATTGTTACTGCAACATTATTTATAATATGAAAACTCGGAAAGATCTATCTGTCCAATAATATATTAAGTTGGATCACAGATTTTGCTGTTTTTATAGATCAAACGTGGCCAACCTGTCAGCTGCATATGATTTAACCTAAATGTAGGATTAAATACATCTTAACATGATCAACCCAGGTACTGAAAACCAGAGAAACATATACAATGAATAAAAATTTAAGTGAAAAAAATATAAAATAGAATTAACTATGAAAAGATGCTCTAACTTGTATGTGATGAGAAAAAATGCAAATTAAGATATTTTACACCTATTAGCATGGCAAAAAATCAGAAAGCTGGATAATTCTAGTGTTCACAGAGATATGAACTACTACTAGGAATATAAACTGGAACAGCTATTCCAGCAAATCAAGTATATGTCGCCTGTATGGCTCAGCATTCTAACTCCCAGATGTATCCTCTCCCAGGAGGGATACACTTTATGTATACCATACAGTGACCTGCTTGAGGGTGCGCACACCAGCGTCTTCTGTGGCATGAGGAGCTGGAGGGTAAGAAAATGTGGTGGATATGCTCTAGAATTCTAGGCAATAATTAGACACAACAAGCCAGAAGTATACACTGAACGTGTTTACATCAAGAGGAACAGAGTAAGATGTACAGAAGAAGATGCACACACAACAACTACACACATTTTTCAAGGTCACATCCAAATGAAAGTCTATGCACACTGAACACAAGAGAATGGTGTGGTGTAGAGAGAGAAACGGGATCTGGGAATGAGAATAAAAGGGAATTAATGAATAAATAATAAGGAGCCCAGTTCGACCAGGGACAACATGGTATGAACTGAGAAGTGTGATTAACTTAGCCCCCTACAACTGAGGTCCCACACCCCACCATGCCAATCACCGACATAAAATATGGGTGTATTGGATGAGAACTGGAAGGTTACACAACAACATGAAAGTAGTTAATTCGCATGGGATTAATTCACGTGGACCCATGACCAACCCCAGGATGGACATAGTGGACCCATGACCATCCCCCAGGATGGAACTATCTCCCCCAATGACATGGACACCTCCACTTCCAGCTTCAGGCCCCCTCAGGCCCTTCATATCTACTCAAATCCTGACCCTCCCCCTGCTTGCGGGAACCTGAAGCAAATTATGCAGAAGTATCTACTGTGAGAGGGGGAAGCTGGCCCGGTGCCCCTCGGAAGCCCTTCACAGCTGAGCAACTGAACCGTCTACCCGCCACACCTCTGAAAAGTCTTTAGAGCCAGTTTTTCCCAGGCCAACAAGGAAGTAACTCTTACAAAATTGACAAATACCCTAGAGAAATGAAATATAGGCCCTTTAACGCAGTCTGTTTCATTTCTCATAAATTATGGAGGGGGGGTTGAAATGGGGGAAACTCAAGCCAGGTGGATTTGATGCCCTGACCACAAGTCCTGCCTCATCCCTTTCAATCCCAGAAGACGGCCAAGAACACACGGCTCTCGGCTCCTGCATCTGAGTCCTAGGTAGAAGTTTCCTGGAAGAAGACTTCTCTTTCTCTGTGCATTGGAGCTAAAAGAACTTGATGTTCAGGTGTATGCTGGGGACCTGGAGGGGCATGAAGGCTGGATGTGAAGTAATCCTGTGCAGTGGTGATCTGTGAAGTCTTGGGTGAGGTTACAAAGGATAGGAAATTAAGTGTAATGTCACAGAGGCCAGGGAAAAAGTTAAAGGAGGGTTGTTTTGACACTGTCAAATGCACGGAGGATGAGAGATAGAAACCTGGAAATAGATAACTGGGAGGTCACAGAGAGTTCCTGAGGTCAAAGTGTAGGGATGTAAAGACTGATAATGTTAAATCTATCAGTAAAGATAAGGTCATTCGCTAAAATGTAATGGGGTGAAGACAGGATTGGGGGTGCTTAAGGGGTTGTATAATTTGGAAGAGTTACTATGGCAAAAATAAGGTTTCAATAGTGTGATATTGAAAGAAGCAATAAGAAGCAAAATAAGGGTTCACCCAGGGGTGGGGTCTCAACCTCAGGGTGACAAACCATGCAAGGAATAAGCAAATACCCTGCTGCAGCCCTCGCTGGTTTGGCTCCATGGTTAGAGTGTCCGCCCGTGGACTGAAGGGTCTCAGGTTTGATTCCGGTCAAAAGCACATGACTCGGTTGCAGGCTCGATCCCTGGCCCTGGTGGGGGCACATGCGGGAGGCAACCGATTGATGTGTCTCTCACATTGATGTTTCTCTGTCTCTGTCTCTCTCTCTTCCTTCCACTCTCTCTGAAAAGCAATGGAAAAAACATCCTTGGGTGAGAATAAAAAAATGAAATTCCCTGTTGTAATGGCTAACTTGTGGGGTGTAGGACGTGCAGGCAGGGCAGCTGCAGCTAACGCAGTGGTGAGCGAGGGGCACAGATGCTGGAGTGAAGAGAATGGCATGACGTGTAAGTTTCCCACTGCTAGTGTAATGACTTAGCACAAATTTAGTGGCCTCAAAGTGAAAAATAAACACAAATTTATTATCTCATAGTTCCGTAGGTTCCAAATCTACCATGGGTGTCAATGGGCTAAGATCACGGTGTCGACAGGCAGCTCCTTCTAGAGGCTCTAGGGAAAGATCGGTTTCCTTTTCCAACTCCTAGACGTAGGCTCCTTTCCTTGGCTCAACATGCCTTCCTTCATTTGCAAACCCAGCGACGCCAAGCCAAGTCCTGTCACGCAGACACTTCTCTAGTTCTTGCTCTCCTGCAGCCCTCTTTCATTTTGAAGGACCCCTGTTTACACTGAGCACACCTGGATAATCCAGATGCTTTCCTTAAGGCGAGCTTATTAGCAACCTCAATTCCATCTACATCCATTTGCCTTCGCTGTGGAACATAACAGGTTTTAGGAATTAGGACATGTGTATCTTTTGGGGGGGGAGGGTGGCATTCTGCTGCCTACCACAGAGGGACAACAAGTGCATGGGAAGACAAGGACGATTCAGATCAAAGAGGGAATTTTTGAGGATTCAAGCAGTGCTCATGGGTGTGAGGGTCCATGTACCAGGGTGGGGGCCAGGGGTGTTAAGGAATGCAGCACTGGTTAGAAGTTCTGGTTCTGAGAAAAACTGGCAAGAATGAAACAATACTAAAGTCATTCAAACCCAAGCATCTGTCTCCTGTCACCAACCGCTGGGGACTGTGTGAAGTCAGGACAATGGACATTATTCATTACGTACTTGAAAACAAAAACAAGAGACACTGAAGTCCTTGATCTTGATTCTATAATCTCTGCACAGATATAGGAAGGACAGAAAAGACAGTATGTAGCTTTTCTTTCTGTTATCAATTATGGGAACAAGCACAAACTTTGAAAATTGTCAGGTTTTCAAATTATATAAGGACCAATTCTGCACTGGCCTTACATTTACTTGGTGTGGGTGTGTAACCCCTTTTTGCATTAGCCATCTCTACCATAAGACCATCTGATTGGGGTACACCAGGCTGAGAGCACAAGGCCCTCGATACCTTGTCTCAAGAGAAGATGGTTTCCACAGCATCCAAATGAGGGACAGTCAAAGAGGCAAAAACTGTCTAACTCTCTAGGTCTTTCTAAGAAGGAGACACCCTGATTTATAAACAGGAGAATCTGTTTCCAATGACAGGCATATCCCTATACTAGGAACTGATGCACCTGGCTATGACAGTTTGGTGACATTAACCATAAAATCAGGTCATGTGCCATCTCCTTTATGTCACCAAACATCATTCTGATTACAATTTGATTTGGGGGTCAAACGAGTTGGGTTCAACTAGCAGCCCTAACACATTCTCACAGTTGTGTGATGTAAGTTACTTAAAATCTTGTGCCTCCGCTCCCTTACCTGTGAAATGAACAACTATCTCATAATGTTCAAAAGATTCAATGACATGAGGGACAGAGTGTTTACCTCAGAGCCTGGCACAGGCTTAACGAATAAGTGCTTAACGAATGCTATTACTACTAACGATGATGTTATCAACATAAGTTAATAGCAATTTGGATAGATTAAGGTATTAAAAGAATTATAAACGATAAACCCAAAAGGTTTTATTCCAGAAACACAGAGCGATACAACATCACAGCGGTACCCCGGTTTTCAAACGTCTCCGTTGATGAACATTTCGGTTTACCATAAACCCGGAGGTAAATGCTTAGATTTTCGAACATGCCTCTGAAGTCAAACATGCCACGCGGCTTCCACTGAGGGCAAGATCCTGAGGCCCAGCTGGGGGCCGTTGATCCCTCAGTTTTTGAACGTTTCAGAACTTGAATGGTCTTCTGGGAAGGATTACATTAGAAAACCGAGGTACCACTGTTATATGACACATGATTATAAACTCTTTAAAGGCATGTATCATATCTGATCACTTTGATACATGCCAAAAAAGCATCTGATGGGATTAAACAGGCATTATAATATTTTTAAAAACAAAATTAAAAACCCATTACAAGAATAGAAGTTCAAGAATAGACATGAACTTCCTTAACATGATGATGAATTTTTACTCTTTGATATTCCTTAGAAATA